CTTTTCTAGAACATTCTGATGAATCTGACTCAGGGTTTTGGATAGGGAAATAAGCTGAGTGTGCAGGGTCTTTTCTCCTATCTGGGTGATGTCTCCCTTAAGCTGCTTGATTATGGGAGGGGCCTTCCGTATAAGATTTCAAAGAGTGAATATCCTGTCGGCCCTGGAGTGCACCTGACTTTAAGCAATGCTAGACTAAGTAAGTCTATCCAAGGTAACCCTGTCTCTTGACATAGTTTGCAAGGGTGTTTTTAAGGGTCCGGTCCATGTTCTCTACTTTCCCTGAGCTCTGTGGTCTGTAAGCAGTATAGAGTTTCCACTTGACCCCCAATGCTTTAGTTAAAGTCTGTGTGATTTCTGCCGTGAAGCTTCGTCCGTTGTCGCTGCCGATTGAGAGTGGCAGCCCATAACGGGGGATTATCTCCCTTAGAAGAATTTTTACTACCTCTTTAGCCGTTTCAGTTCCAGCGGGAATAGCCTCTGTCCATCCTGAGAAGGTGCATACCATTACTAACAGGTATTTCATTCCCTTGCATTGTTTTACCTCGGTGAAATCGACCTCTGCATCTTCAAAGGGAGACGTTCCTGTATGTTGAATACCTGGAGCAGGCCTGGGTCGTGCGACTGCGTTATTCCTGGCACACGTCTGGCAACGAGCGCAAATGGTCGCGGCTAGAGAAGGGAGTCTGCGATGTAATAATGTCAGTTATGTAGGGTGGTTAGGGCAGTCTTTCCCATGCGTGAGTGTAAATGATATGTGGAAGTGGCTGAGTAGGCCAGCTTTTCAGGTATGAAAATCCGACTGTCCGGTAGGCGCCACCACCCTGTCTTGGTCTTCTGGGCTTTTTCTCTTTCTGCCCAGGGCTCTTGCTCTGGGCTGTATTTAGGTTGTTCAGGCCACTCTGGTGCTAGGAGGATTTTACTGGCTTTCGGTGTGCCTTGTTCGAGGTTTTTCTGTCCTGTTACAGCTTTCGCTGTCTGATCAGCCAGATGGTTGCCAAGGGTGACTGGATCTGTTCCCTTTTGGTGGCCTCGGCAGTGTATTACAGCTATTTCTTTTGGTTTCCACGCAGCTTCTAACAGTTGGAGAATTTCTTCCTTATTCTTTATTTCCTTACCTACTGCTGTTAGCAGCCTTCTTTCCTGGTAAAGGGCTCCATGTACATGTAAGGTATTCCAGGCATATTTTGAGTCTGTGTATATGTTGGTTCTTTTTCCCTCTGCATATTTGAGTGCTTGTACCAGGGCCCATAATTGTGCCCTCTGAGCGGACCATCCTGCCGGCAAAGGTTCAGCTAAAACAACTTTGTCTCTGGTTGTTACAGCGTACCCCGCCTTTCGTTGTCCATCTTGGACATAGCTGCTGCCATCTGTGAACAGCTCTAATTCTGGGTTCGGCAGGGGAGTGTCTCTCAGACCGGGTCGGCTAGCATAAACTTCCTCTGTTACCTCAAGGCAATCGTGGTCCGGGAGTCCAGGGTTGATGGGCAAGAGGGTCACAGGATTTAGAGTCCGTACGGCTTCCAGGGTTATTTGTGGATTGTCACACAGTAGCCCGTGCTATTGGGCCAGCCGGCTGCCGGAGAGCCAGCGGTGCCCTAGATTGTCGATAAGCTGTATTACAGTGTGTGGGATATGAACTCGGGTGTGCCGGCCCAGGGTAAACTTGTCTGCTTCCTTGATTAAGAGAACAGTGGCGGCTACAGCCCTAAGACAGGAGGGCCATCCGGATTGAGCAGATTGCGTGTTTTCTCTCATGTCCAAGTTCTCTACATCCTTCAGTGATTGTAAATCCCAAATACTTCACAACTTGGCAGCAAATATGTGCTTTCTTCCATGAAACCTCATATCCCTCTCTGCCAGCAGCTGAAGTAAAGCTCGTGTGGCCTGTAAGCATTGATCCTTAGTGCGGCATGCTAGGAGGAGGTCATCTACGTACTGCAGAAGGGTGCAGTTGAGCTCCTCGCATGGGTACGAGGCCAGATCTGCAGCCAGCGCTTCCCCAAAG